ACGCAACTTTCTATGTCCAACGACGGGCAAGCCAGGGAAAAGGATGATGATGTTTAAAATTTATGTTTATTATGAGCTTGCACAGCACAAATAAACTTTTAACATTAAAATACCTTCCAGAGTCCCTCCCCCCAGGTTACTATTTGTCAGACTCCACCCTGCGGTCACATCTCGACAACGACGTATCTACGGTATGGCAACAATGGCACGTGCCATGGGCGCCACTTACAAGGGGCGCCCTTTACACTATACCCGTTAAAACAAATAACAATAACCCTCATTTGAAGTCTCCTGACAGGGGCGCTAAATCTATGCTTGCCATGGGAGCCTGAGCACCTAGTTACGCCACTGCATCTCGAAGTTTTTTTCTGCAGAATTAATGTTCATACAGTACATTCTCCTAACGAATCTCCAGACTAACTTATTTCTCAAAAACGCAGCCGACGTTTTTTGTTTTTGTTTTTTTTTTATCTACAGCGGGAGAAAGCGAAGCAACGGGTGGGGGAGGAGGTGGAGGGGGTGGCCCCATTCCGAGCCTCGCCGCCTCCAGCCCTAGCCTCTCCCCAAACTCGGACGAGCTGACCCCGAACGCCACACCGCTAGGCCACACGGAGCTGCACGAGATGCGCGGTGTCCTACAGGTAGAGCGCGCAAAAACGGATCAACACCTCATCACGCTGGATAAACGAATCGATAATATAGCAAGGCAATACAACAAAATACTAATACAGGGACAACATTGGACCTCGAATACAAGATTCTCCAATATCAACTGATACGATATTTTTTTTTAATTCCAAAAATTACATGGAAGTACGGCGAGGAAGTACATATTAACGTCGTTTTTGAAAAAAATATTGTTTTTAAAATTGTATGAATTTCACACAAAATTACACGAAAACTAACACTTTTTACCGAGACGTGGATCACTCTTGTTCCTACAGGTAAAAATTACTTCCTCTAACACGTAGACACAATCCACTTTTTATGGGTCCTTGATACCGAAAAATTAAGTTTACGGCATAACTGTCTGTCCGTTATGGTCAACCTATACGCTTAAATCGGTCAGGCCATTTTCTCTAAGATTGATATTCTCCAATCGATCTCCGCATGCTCGAGACCCTGAAAATTTGAATTGGATACTTTGATTTTAGGGGTAGCCAAGCAGAGCATTCAACTCATTTTCTAAAAAATACATGACTTTATTTCAAGCTCTACCCCCAGAACAACGTATTTCATTAAGAACACATATTTCAATACTGTGGTTGAAATAATTCTGAACTTTTTTAATTTTAGAAAATTCTGAGATTTTAACGAAATTAATCTGCATCATTTTTAAGTGTCATTTAAGCTACCCGAGGACAAGTTTAATAAAAAATTTGAAGCCATTTTTGAGAAAATTTTAAAATGTTGAGACTTTATGAAAAGAATGCCCAAAAGTCAAACTATCCGTTTCAAACTGGGAACACGTGTCAGGAACTGCTGCAGACGTGGTAAAGACTCAGGCGCTGATTTCGAAGGACCTGGGCCAATCGATGATATCGGCGTCAGAGTTGTGTGACAGCGACCGAACAATGTATCGGATTGCAGAGGACGACTTACAAGTCGTACGCAATAAAGGCGCGACAGATGCTGCCAGAATAAAGCGAATTGCTCGCTGCAACCTGCTATTGAGTTCATTAAAAAACGAAGCGGGCAGGGCGAATCAAATTATTTTTTGATGAAAAAATCTTCACTGCTGACGCGAAGGTCAACCTGAGCAATGATCGCTAGCACGCCCACGACCCCGAGGACGTCCCGATTGTTGCTCGAACAAAAATTCCGGCTACTCTTCTCGTCCAACGTATTGTGATGTCATGCCGCCACATTTCTTTGGAAAAAAACAGTCACGAAAGACGTTTATCTGCGAGTTTTGACGAATGTCGTGAAACCGTAGATGGTAACTGTAGCCTCGGGGAGGCAATATGACTTTCAGCAAGGGCTCACACGAGCCATTTAGCTCAAAACTGGCTATCAGATAACGCACACACGTTCTGGCCAAGAAAGTTCTGGTTCCCGAATAGCCCGGATCTGAACGCCCTTGAATAATATGTTTGGAGCGTAGTCGAAAGGGTTACCAACCAGACGAGGCACCCTATTGTCGCACCTCTACGCACAGCTATCGAAGCAGGATTCACAAATACGGACAGCGCTGTTTTAAAGAGAGCGTGCGCGCGCTTCAGGACAAGGATGTAGGCGGTTATTGCGGCTGAAGGAGGACATAGGATAGTTTTACTCTTGACATGTCCCACTAATTCTGTGTAAAGGAATTTTTTTATTTCATTTGTATTTTGTGTCAATAAATTTGATTTAAAAAAGTTTAATTTGTCCGGATTTAAGCGCTGCATTCTGCAAGTGCGTAGAAGAGCGAGAAAGTAAAAAGGACCTTAAGACACATTCTTCAACAATTTAAACAAATGACCCCACATGAATAAACCACATCCACATAAAATCAATCACAAGACATAAGCAGTATTGAATTTGATGTTCTTTTAAAACATCTAATTTGAAAAACTGTACTTTTGTTGGTTTTTTTTCAAAGCAATACCAATGTCAACAGGCACTCTTTAGTGATCTACATATCGGATCAGCTGCCAACGTTGAAGATATTGACCTCTTTGCTGTGCAGCCATCGCAAGCCTCCAACCCACAATGACAAAACTACAGATTGTGGCATGCTGTCCTTGTCTAGAACCTTCTGGCAGCTGGATTGTGACCTCAGTTTCTGGTTGCCAGTTCTCTCCCTGGCCGTCTGCACATATCGCTGAATTTGACCAGGTCAAGGGTCTGGAAATGCATTACAATTCATTTTGTCTATAGGATACACATTGAGAGACAGATGCAATGCTGTACTTTTTACATGTACACGCATTTGTCTCACTGTATCCATGAATGCCCCAATCAATGTGTGACCCAATCACAGAACCAATACTCTGTGGTAATGTGGTAATTACAGCCCTACTGGTTCTATGAAGCGAATCATATTTCACTAGAAAATAATATATTAGTACTTTTAAATCCTTTTTTTTTTTTTTTTACATAAAATAAAAGTTTTTTTTCTTACAATCTCTTACTTTATCATTTGAGCATTAAGGTGTATGATAAATATGACGCGAACAACCAAAATGTGTACAAATTTACATCAAACAACAGAGCTTTTTCAATGAATGGGTAGCAAGGCTGACAAACAAGTAGCTGACATCTACGACCTAAAAATGAGGTAATAGCTTACATTTATGATTGATAAATTGACAACGAACAAAACTCAAAACATAGTTGATGGTATCCATAGAATTCACTGCACTAGACAGAAAAATTCTTGAAACTGAGACAGTTATCTTTCAATGCTCCACAGCAATTGCACATTACATGGATCCTGTACTTGCTCTAAACAAAACTCAATATTCTACTGAAATAAGACCACAATTATTTAAAGAAAATCAAGGTATTTTTAAAAATTCCTGTAAAACACACATCTTTTTGGTGTTTATAAAAATTAATTTTAATAAGAAATGTTAACTAGTGGCACTACAACAGCACACACTATTTTGCAATATTGCAATGTTATTGATTATGTACAACAGAATACCCATAATGCTTCATTCAGACAGAAATTACATAAAAACTACAAACTTTTACAAAAAATTGTACGTTACCTTTATTGAAGAGCTATTTTGGTACAACAAACATAGCCAGAGGCAAAAATCTCATTCAGCAATACCGAAAACTGGGATAAGCACCATATTTTTACCGTCCCTTACTACATAAATGTAGACAATTTAAAGCAAAAATGTTGAGCAATTTTTGAGAATAAAATTGTGATAATTTCACATGCAAATTACGCAAAAACTACTTGTTTCTCACAAATTGGAACTTGATCTTTTTAAAGAGGTAATTTTGTTAAACAGAATTTGTCTCAGGCAAAAATCTCTATCTTCTATTTTAATTTTGTATTTTCAAAATTTTGTTTTACATTTGTTGAAAAATCAGAATTTCAACGAAAATGAGATCTGCACTATTCTTTCAAACTTCCTTTGCACTATTCAACAACAAAATTTAATAAAAAAAGATGGAACCATTTTTTTGATAATGTCAGAGGCGCTTCATATTAAGTACCCCCCAAAATTAAAATATTAGTTTCAAATCCCAGGGTTCACAACAACAGCCAGAAAGATTGGAGAACACCAATTTACAAAAAAATTGGTTGAACAGGTTATGCACTAGCATTGTGCACAGATGGATGAACAGACAGACAGAGAAACATTTAGCCAGCAATCAATTTTTCATTGTGAAGGATGCACAAAACATGGTTTCTGGCTATACCACGTTTAGAGGATTTTTTTCTATATTTAGAAACTGGATTTATCCACTTTTTTGATACCAAGGCCTGGCAAAAAGAGATTTGTGTCGAAAATTCCCCCTTTTTCAGGTGCACAATTACAATACTTTCTCCTCTTACATTAGTAAGTGCAAAATGTTGAAATACAACAGTAAAATGCCAATGCTTTAGAAATAAACTAATATAGTGTTGAAAATAAATGAAAAAAAAATATTTACAAGCCCAATAAAACCCACATTAGGTGCGCCTAAAACAGATTCCATTTACTGGCTCGATCATTTACTGTCTCATTCCTGTCAAACTACCCCACACTTGTATCTTTCTATCAACATCTGCTAGTGTTCCACAAATAGACAAATTAAATTATAAGTTTATTCTCTGCCTTGATTTGGTATATCTCTGAATAATTAAATCATAATTTTGACCATTCGTGCAGTAAAATATTGTTTTTAACACAAAAACTTGGTTCTTAATGATTACATTAGTATTCACAAATGATAACTTACTGTAAGAATGTTTGCAATTATCAAATGCAAGGTAATTAGACTTTTTTGCTTTTGCTTCTTTTTGCACTACCACAAACCCCTTCTTGAAAAATATTACAAAAAACATGTGTACTTACATCATCAGTGATAATCCAGGGTAATTTTGGCAAACACGCATTAACTGCCTCTGAAAATTGGCTGTGAGGAACATCATGCTCCAGGAGTAGCACTTCATTTTCTGTGTCCTTATCACCAATGGGACCCAAAGCACGTACGAAGTGACCTGAGGGGTATCTTGAATGCCGGGGCCAAGAATCAATTGCTACAATGATACGTTGAGATGCCAGAACTTCAGACTGTCTTGTTTCTATCCTGATTTTGGGGATTTTACGTTCAGCTGGCACAAAAATGTGACGAACAGTCTGAAACAAAAGTCCTGCATTTTACATTCATATTTTCTTTTATAGATGAACATCCCTAAGAGCATTATAATATTTTAATTATAATAAATTATATCTCCTTTACATCTTTGACTGGGCTGGGTTGCAGAATACCACAGTATTGTCGCCATTTTCGCCGAATGATACCAACAACTCGTCCAGTTGGAATCCGTTCTGAAGAAGCAGCCCGACTTCCTGATAATGCTTCAGTACGATCGTCCAAAATATCACCTGAAATTGAAAATTTTAACTTCAACATTGCCAAGAAACTAACATTGCCAACGCCCTCATATTTCACTAAATCCTTTAAAGCAATATTTTCAATCCTGTTTGAAGTACTGGCAGCTGATGACAAGTCATTTAAAGTCATGCAATTCCTAATAAGTGTATTTCTTAATGCCTCAGTCATAAAAAGTCTAAAAAATGCTGCATCATAAAATTTCTCTTATATTTTTTAGTCCTCAATTTCTTTCATTTCGGAAGTAAAGATTCTGCGATGAGATTGGTCAATGACAATGCAGTCTGCAAGAATATACTAACTTGACTCAAAATGCTTGACAAGTTAACTCACCAGGGTCATCTTCTTCATCCTGAAGCACAATATCAGAAGGACTTGACCACTGATCTTCAGGCAGCAATTCAATTGCAACTGAATCCCCATCTACAGCCCGGTTTAGACCTGCATGTCCTTGCAGCAAGATCTGTAATAAAGCATAACACATGCTCTGTCATCGCTAATCAAAAATAGTATATTTTGTTATAAGTTAATAAAGTAAACTTTTGTAAATTATTTAAAACTCGTTTAAAAAAAATATGAAATAAAGATTGCTAGCCTTCAGTCACCCGCTCCCAATTTACACATTTGGATGCTACGTAAGTCCCAATTTGTACGTTATTTAATATTTCATTTCATTATTATTATTTGTTATATTTATATTATTTCATTTCAAATTGAGTTCTTTAATTGTGTTAAATGTGAAAACAAATAGATGAACGGTCATTGTTGGTTGTTGTTACACATTGTTGTAATGCTGCACAGATAACAGAAGGCGGTAATGACAGCTTTTTTTCATTCGCAGTAATAAAAATTAATACTACAGTAAAACCCCACTTTTAACGTTCCAGCATTTTACATTTTCCTGCGTTTTATGTACTTTTTGTTGGTCCCTTTAAAAAGCCTATATTTACAAGCATTCTCTTCCTGCAATTTCCAACTTGATATGAATAACGCTTCCTGACTTTTGCATCTTTTTTTAAATATTTAAATTTTTTTCTTTTTCCTTCATATACATATGTTTTATACCTATTGCTGGGTGATTTTTCGACAGAAAAACTCAAACTGATACAGAAAACTTGGATAAATCTTGTTCCAATATGTAGTAAATTACTACATATGTATCTAACAAACTCGCAAAAGCCTCGCACTCGTTCAGATCATTCGAGGAATATCAATTTTGGAGAAAATCGGCAGGCTGTTTAGGCACTCGTGTTGACCAGATGGGCATACAGATGTGTTCAGCGGACAAAACAGCCATCATTTAATTTTGCGGTTTCAACGACCCATAAAACAGGAATTCAGGCTGCACCATATGTTAGAGGAAGTAATATCACCACTAGCTTTTGAACATTTGCAGAAATAATTCCTTTTTTCAGTCATTTACTACATTTAAATATTAACTGATCATTTTTTTAATTAAATTAAAGGGCTTGTATGTAAATTGCAACAATAAATAGAAATATTTTTCATTAGTTTTTTGATTGAATCTGTAAAATTACAAAGAAAATATTTAAAACTGATCTATATTCTAGAATCCAAATTAAATTGGTGCAGTAATCTCTCCCCTTGCAACCTCCACATGTGAATGGCTTGTTTAACATTTTCACATTTGTGCATCCTTCCTTCACTCAAAAATTGTCCCTTATCTTTTTGTCGAGTGTGGTCAACTAAATCTGATATTTATTTACACAAATTGTAATATGTAGCACAAATAAAATTAATACGAACTGTACTGTAATTTTATTTATTTTTACTTCCTGTATAGGGAATGGGGTGTTGTTGCGCACATAATGTAGTTATTTAGCCCCCCCTCCTTTCAAGTGCGCTTTACTGGTGTGTTGCAGAGGGGTATTCACAATACTCAAAATTCGCATTACGTAATTTATGGATGACCCCTACACTTTACGCTTTGAACTAGCAGTGACTTAACAACTTCATCTACACACATTTTTAATTTACAAAGAATTAAGCTGTACAATAACTTACCATTTTCTCTTGTCCTTCAACATTAACATGACCCTCTAAGAAATTTTCTCGGGAAGCATAAAAGGTGCCTTGCAGAAGTTTCCCTGACTTAATGCCATCATGAATTAGACTAGGCGGTAAGTGCGGAGGAAATAAATATTCTCGGGCATTGCCATCACGCTCTGGTTCTGTTACAGCAAGTTTATCCTGAAGACCTGGGCAACCCACTAGGCTCTGAATGTATTCCCGCACTGACAACAAAGTAAACAGAATTACAGACATAAAATTGTATTTTTCCCAGATAAAACTCAGTAATTTACCAGATAAGAAATAGTACAGTTCTAGCATTCAAAAACAAACAAAAATGTGAGAGTATTTCAATGACTAATAGAAATAAGTTTTACAAAGGCAAAGTCAAACATGGTTAAAAACACTGAAATACTGAACACTTAAAAAATTTTGTAAAATTAATTTCTAACTGTGAATGTCAATTATACAAACAAGAATGTATGTTTTTGATATAAATTTCTTTTACTCTGATCTTTATGAGAATTTGCACACTTGTCACAGTCTTTGAAAAACTCTACCACTTATAGTCCTTTCCTACCATTTAAAGCAGAATTATGGGCTTTCTCTTAACTCAAAAACAAGTGAGGAAATCAGCCACAGTAATCGTGCATTTTCTAAAACCTCTCATATGTTTCACTAAACTTTTTGATTCAACCCATTAGTACTATTACACTTTGAGTAAATCAAGGCCGAATTAAAAAATTAGTTCCGATGAGAGGAAGGACATGAATAGAAATGAAGAACATGCAGAACAAGGATGGAAAATTGTAATTTACACTACATCTGAAATTCATTCCTTTTCTGGTATAACAGAGGATTGCATCACCCGGACAGCCTAGTAAATACTGACTCCGGCCGCAGAAGCCTACGGTCTCATAATCTAATACTTATCAACCATAAATATAAATTGCTCACTAGAAAGATCGATTGTAGGAATCAATAAAAAGGTAGGTAAAATATTTTTTTAAAATTCAAACTAAAAATAATGTGTGATTTTCAAAATTGTATAATACACAATAATATTAATGATAAATAGTTTCCTGTGGAAAAGGAACATAGCTGAACCATACCACTCCACTACAATGTATATTTTCTAGTTAAGATTTGAAACATATTTATTATAATTAACCTATTAAGATTGAAGTAATTTTTACTGCTGAAGTGTTCTCCTGTACCTGATGCCACACACAGCCCTTCCTTGGCAGCCAACTCTTTGTTCTTTCCATCATTTGTTAAGAGAAGGATTTGAACACGTTCAGACTTATTGATGCCACTCTGACTACTAGCAAGGTGGCTTTGATACCAAGCCACAGTCTTTCGAATTGCACGATCATTACGATCATTAGCAGTTTCCCCACGTTGTCGCTCAATGTATGTTTTCCTGAAAACGTTCCAAAATATAGTAAAATAATTTACAAGAGTAATCCGAAGCCTTATAACTCAACAATTTAATTAACAATAATCGCAGAAATTTATTAAAAAATTGTATTTTATGAAAAGACACAAATCAACGATTGAGTGGAAATTGGACAGAGCATATTTGTGATATTTATGCAACAAAAAGTCTTCACAAATAGGTGTTCAAAATATTTTTATTAGTTAATTGAAATTATTAATTATTTACTTAATTAAATAAATTATTATTTACTAATTGATACTTATTCAAATATTGCTTAAATTACTTTTCTAGAAATAACTTAATTACTTTTGCCAATCTGTTAAATTATCCCATTACCACCAGTGTTATTTAGCACTCAACATGAATAAAGAAAGTCTCATGATGAAATACTATTATTATTAAACAAAACCAGTTTTTTGAGATGTGTACTTGAATAAAAAACAAATTTCACATAAATTAATACATACATATGATGCTCATTTACAAACACATAGAAATTTCTGCCTGGATTACCAATGATGTCTTTAAGTCTTTTATATATTGTACTACTCTGATGTTTCACTTCTTCAATTACTGTTTGTGGAATGATGACATTGCACAAAGTTTTTTCTTCCAATACATCAATCTGAAACAGATGAGCAAATAAATATTTTGCATTCTAATGACAGTAGATGGACCCATTTTAATCACACACACCTGATGTACGACAACACATGTGTCTAAAACTATGTAATGAGGGAACGAAAATAATTCACTAGCAGACTCTGGGTTTGCTGAAAGCACAGGTTCACTCATAGGACATTTATCACACAAAGCAGAACCACACCATATATCTTCTCTCAAATAGTGCTCTCGGACAATCTGAAAACAGAAATATTTGTGGTTAGATATATAACATGTACATGAAGTTGCACGTTTGTTTTTGGATCATGAAATCTTGGACTCCCGAATATTAGCACAGGGATTCTTTCCGACACATATTGCGAGAAATAATATTGACATATTATTCATTCAGTTTTAACTTTCTTCTTTACTTCCTCCCCTAATTGCTTCAAAAATATGCCCATATACTTCCAAATGACAATTTCTGCTACCAGATCATTGTGTGCACAAGAATGGTCCTTTGATTAATGTTAATTACAGTACGCTCAAGAGATGCACACGATTTATTTCAAAAGATACGTGTGCACTCAGTCACAAGAAAACATAACCTAAAAGTTTTTCACCTTCAGTATATTTCCACGCTTGGTCTTTTTCAGAAAAGTTTTGGTCGTCAACATGTTGGAAATTCAATATCTTAAAATGATATACTGATAACTACACAACTGCCAACCGAAAACAATTCAGCAAACTCTAAATCACAGCATCATCAACACATGAACAAAACCGCATTCCGCGCGTGCATTCTCAGCTCAAGGAGTTGCGAGTCAAAAGTAGAAGAGTAGAAGTGGGCACTCCATGCAGTCGAGGAAGCACGGCTTTTCCATCAGCACGTTTCAAAGCATAAAGAGAAAAGAAATCCATGTGGCACTTCACTGTACTGCCTTTATTTAGGCGGGGGAATCGTGCCTTTTCAAACGTCTGTGAGAGCAACACCGACTTACTCGTATTATATCATTTAATTTTAAATCGTTTATCATGTTGATTTTTTTAAATCGATGGGTTTTTTTACGTGCTTTTAACATTAGACATGTTAGTTCTCGGGTATGTATTTCAGAAGAGGTTAGGAATGCCCTCAATAAAAATATGCCAGTTGTAGCTCTTGAAACAGCTCTTGTCACTCATGGAATGCCTCATCCTGAGAATATAAAGACTGCTATAGCTGCCCAAGATGCTGTTTCTTCTCAAGTAAGTTATCTGAAGAAATAACTTAATTATTATATTTATCTTATGGATAATGACTTTTCTGATTTTAAAAATGTTTCATTTCCGGTTTAAAACATTCCGTAACTTAATGTTAATTAATCTGCAAATGTTTTCATTGTAGGGTGCTGTGCCAGCAACAATTGCTATTTTGCATGGCAGAGTGAAAGTGGGTTTACTGAATGATGAACTTGTTGAATTAGCTGAAGGAAAAGCTCCTTCCATTAAAATATCAAGACGTGATTTTCCTTATGCTATTAGTAAAGTAAGTATTTCTATTCACATTTTGTTCAATGTAATTAAAATATCTATTTATGAATGTTCATATGACATACAGAATTTTTGCCCTAGAAAATTAATGGTGGAACCACTGTGTCTGGAACCATGGCAATTGCTGATCTAGTAGGCATTAGAATATTTGCCACTGGTAAAATCTATCTTTACTCTTTCTTTTTTCGTAGATATGCCCTAATAATTGTATTTTAAATCAATTGCAATCTTAAGAATTATATTTATTTCGGTTAATTTCATTTGCAGGAGGGATTGGAGGAGTTCATCGAGGTGGAGAATCAACGTTTGATATTAGTGCTGATCTGACAGAATTGGGTCGCACTCCAGTCGCTGTTGTATCAAGTGGAGTCAAAGCCATTCTTGATATACCACGTACTCTAGAGTTTTTGGTGAGAATTACATTTTTTGTCATCTCTTTGTAAAGTGCTTCTTATCTTGTATTATGATATTTTAGGTATCATGTGCAACATTTTACATGCAGGAAACACAAGGAGTGTGTGTGGCTGCCCTAGGTGCTCCAGGCTCTTCTTTTCCAGCATTTTATTCCCAAGGAAGTGGACACAAAGCGCCTCTGTGTGTGAGTTCCCCAGAAGAAGCAGCTGGACTTCTACATTCTTTAACAGATTTAGGCTTGAGGTCTGGCATGCTCCTAGCTGTACCTGTGCCATCAGAACATGCCCTTCCTGGTAATTACATGAAAGTCATGGTGAAAATAATTTTCATTACGATAAACAAGTATGTTATGATCCAGTTGCATTTATGAATGCATTATGTATTTCAAATAAAACTCTCATGTGTAGTGAAGACTAGGGTACTATTATATTTGTGAAGGTAGATCCTTTGGCCAAATGGATAAAAGCTGTGACTCAATGAGACAAAAAACTTAACAGTTTCAATTTTTTCTCAATTGTTTGAGAAAAAATCAGTACATATATACGTACATATTTTGCATTTTTATTACCTAAATTCAATTCCCTACTGATGATGAATAGGGATTGAGTGGGATATCTGGTGATATACTATTGAATTGAATTTGCCTTATTTTACGTGGCGAGACTCGGGCCATCAGGCCCGCTCTTCCGTCTGACCATGCAAATACTATTGCTTTCTACAAACAATTATGAAAAGAAAACATATTGATCCTATGTGGGACTTGATCCTGCAGCTGTCTAGTTAACAATTTATGAATAATGACAGTATTATTCTTAGTTCTAAGTACACTGCTGTACTGTGTAAATTTCCATTTGAATATACTTCAAAATTGGATGATGTATTTGCAGATGCAATGGTGGAAGATGCTGTAGGGAATGCTTTGAAAGAAGCAGAAGCAATGGGGATTCAAGGGAAGGACATTACTCCATTTCTGTTGCAGAGAATTTCCCAGAGTACAAAAGGACATGCCCTTGTTGCAAGTATCCTTTACAATATAGCTGTATGTTTTATTGGAGCAGCCACTAATTTTACATTCTCTTATACTACAATGTTGTTGAGAGAAATGTAGTAATCATAAAATTTTGAAGATTATGATGTGTATGCAACAGCTAATAATGAAACATAAATCTGTTCAATAATCAACTTGCTGGATAAATTGGATTGGAGTTTTAAAGAAATACTTTTCTCTTTAAAATTCAGGTGCCTTGTGTTCCAGAAAAAGTAAATAGTCATCAAAAACATAGTTTACAAAGTTTAACTGCTCTTCATGAAGTAGTCAGTGAGGAAAAATTAATTCTTCCAAAAATTATTGTGTTTTAAAAATATTTATTATCTTGTTTTAAAATTTGCATGCACATATATATTGCTGTACAATTTATTAGCAGTACTATGTATTTTCATATACAATAAAATCTGTCTAAGCCAGAATCAATCAGGACAAAACAAATTCCGGTTTAGGGAGGTTTCCATTGCATGCAAGGTTCTCCATTTTTTGACATTTGTAATATTGATATTTCCATCCCAAAACTAGTAAATTACATGACTTTTTTTATAATTATTATAATATAGTAACTTATATCACAACACAATCATAACACTTATTGTAGAGGGAAAAACATTGTCATGTGCTTTATTAAATTAAATGGAAAATCACTATTTAATTTACACTGCAATACTAGAAAAATTACATTCTTTATTCTAGTGTATAATATTTTGTGTTGAATGTATTTAAAGACTTAGAGACTGTTATCCTTAAGATGTACCTAGACCAGTCCTTAATCATCAATAATGCAAAAATTGCAGCTCAAATGGCAGTGGAATTTGAGAAGTTGCAAAAAACTAGCTTTTAGAGTTGTTATGTGCTTTTATGAAGCTGTTAACTGACTTTGTTCTGATATTGAGGTAAGAAAACAAATCAATTGTGCATTTTTTTATAAGGTTGATATTTTGCGCCTTAAACTGGTGAATGACAATCGCATTTCACAAAGAGTTAGGAGAATTATGTACATTCCTATAGCTTTCATCCTTGAAGAAGTATTTTATTGGAAATTATTTTTTTTGTAATTTGTGATTGTAGTATTGCTACTTTAAAATTCTAAGTAATTTTTGAAATGAAGCAAATTTTCCCAGAATCATAGCTTGACTGAAGATTCTGAATTATGAAACTTTTGTACAAGGAAATATTAAATAATATTTTGTACTTGTTTTTAGTTTTTCACATAAAATGATATACACTTCATACCCTCAAAATAATTTTGTGAATGAATTACGGGTAATCATCAGTCATGTCTGCTTTAGTTTAGCCCTATGCTGTTAGCAAAATATGAGAAAAATGGGAATTTGTTCTAATGCAAAGAATAGCAGGATTATAACTACACTCATGCTAGTGAGACCTAAGTAACATATCTACTTATTGTTTACAGTTCCCCAGTTCTCCTTTGATTCTGTGATATATAAACAAGAGTTCGTACAACTTATCTGTGCACTTGACGACCATTAAAATTATGAGACACAGCACTTGCACAGTAGAGCAAGTGCTCATACAATTACTCATTTCACTCATACAATTACTGTTCAGAGAGTATTGGATAGCCCAATATGAGCTTGGGATTGTAATCACCCAGAAATATGTTGTACCTGCATAAGTAATTTTTTTCATTGGGTTTGTTGTTTACTTTCTTACCCAAAAAGTAAATGTAATTTTTTTGGGTCGATGCTCCCTGTTGAAAAGGAAGACAAAGTTTTTGAGATGGCAATCAGTGTTCCATTCTCCCTCTTTTCCGACATCAACTAAGTGCACTGATTCTTTGTGCAAATTCTTCTTCTAAGAAGACAGTACAGTTGTCCATTTTATATTATACTTTTTGGCTGTCAGCTTATATTTACCACAGATCTAACAAAAAAATATTAATTACATTCTGTACAATCATTGATGTGATATTGTTATAGAGATCTTATTTAAATTTTGACACATTCGAGAAGTTTCAATGAATTTCAAACACCTAAAGTCAAAACGGTTTTCAATTTGACTTGGAATAACTCAGTTTCGTTTGCACTTCTCTAGCTTCTAGATATGAAATGTAGTGTATTGGTGAGGGTGCGCCAAAGTCAGAATTGCTCTTTCAATACATAAACAGAAAATTGTTATCAGTATTTATGAATTAAAAAAGATATGATGAAAAAATTAGTATTGAAACAGTGAAGAAATAGTTTTAATGATTTGAAGAGTGTAAGTGTAAATGTAATTTGTGATATGTATATTTGCCCACCAGTTACAATTATGTTAATATTTGAAATAAATTGAAGTTACCTTTGTTAGAAGTTTGACATAGGGGTATTAATGGCTTTTAATGAAAATATATCTGTGAAGGTCATTAATGAGTTATTATATTTTTTATTTGTTTGTTCTGGCAATGTTGTGTATCTGCAAGTATTAATGAAAAAAAAATGAAATAATTGTTTCTTAATTCACACCTGCTAATGAAATAATACTGTCATGCAGGTAAATAAAACATTTTATAATTAACATTTTCTATTAATTTTTGAGTTCCTTAAAGCCCAAGTAGTGTATCTCTTGTATTTTTTTAATTAGGTTGATAATCGTGTCAGAAGGTGGCATTCTATTAACAGCTCAATGGGTGTAGTTGTTCATGATGTAGCAACAGAGCATCAATATTGGTAGAAACACAAGTTTATGCTGTTAGTATAGCCATCCATCTGCTGATAGCAAAGTGTTGTTGGAAGTAGCATTGGGATACACGTATACTCTCTGGTTGCACCATTTTAACTGCTTTATTTTCTTAGTTTGCTGTGAATATTCAGGTAGTACCAAAAGTGTTAATCACAGTTCTTTTTAAAGAAACTTGCTAAGTACATGCAATTTTGCTAGTTGTACTTCACGTTGAGGTCTAACAGAGGATGCCTGGTTTCTTTAGTTAACATACCTCAGAAAAATGTGAAGCTGTACAGAGGGCCATGGCCTGATGGCGAGAAAAACAGCAAAGCCAAAAAAATAAATAAATAAAAATTGAAGACCTCTTTATCATTTTTGATAAATTGATTTTGATTTATCATTTGAACCTAAGGAAATACTTTTGTATTATTGATTTTGTCTAATACTCAGGCACAGGAAACTTTGTTCCTGACAAGGGCTGTGTAGACAGGCATTTTGGAATTTGGCTTCCCAAGGGCATTCAATGTTACCAACTATTTTTGACTCCCACACTTGCCACCAGGAACCGATTCAACACCGACTGCGATGGCTTGGTGGAAACACTGCTTTTGCCTCGGCAGAATCGTAGTCGTGGAGACTGCTTTTTCGGTCATTTTTCTAGTCAATACCAGGCAAATGTCGAAGCAGTACCCTAACAAACAGACCTCTCGCGTTATTCCCTTCCTCTCTCGTTGCACAATACACACTTACGTTTCTATTCACTACACAACCACAGGGGCGGATCCAGCCGATCATTTTGGATGGGGCATCGTAGGTTTTTGTTAAATAATAAACATATTTGTTATTGTATACTACTGTTTTTGTGGTGTATATATGCTACTATACAATATTATTTGTTTTAAATAATCACATAAATGTAACTTTAATAAATATTTAAATCAATTTTACCAAATAAAGGAAGTAACACACAAAAACTCTAGGCCTTGGGGAGGGGCGGCCAGGCTCCCATGCCCCCCCTTGGATCCGCCACTGCCCCCACACATGCCAGGGCACCAGTCGGGAACTTAGATATTGCCTCGGCTGGGGTTATGTCCCGCGGATGGATACACCTGGAGGTCGGCTATTCCAGCGGGAGAGGAATACCGGAAATGAATGGTCTACATTTCCGAGTCTAATGACTATAGTAACGCGCCCAGAAACTTTAAATTTTCAAACGACACAACAGCAGACTCGGTTACTTTATCTGTTACTTGCATGGCTTCTACGACACAGTAACGTGTTATCGCCCTTTCGAACATCTACCGACGCCAGCCGGGTTTCAACCCACCAACTCTGATTTTCGAAGCTAGTGTGCTAACCTCCATTCCAACGAGATTCGAACTTCAAGGAAATTACTGTGCCCGCCTAACTTTCTAGATATCTTCAGGGATTCTTTCTCAAGGAAGGAATTCGAAAAGGCGCAAGCATTACTTTCGCCGACGAGGCAGAGGCAGGGCTGAGCATTACCGATGCGCCGATTTCGGCGACTGGCGTGTGCGCGAGCTGGGGACCTTGCGGTGTGCCCTTGTCAGGGGAATATCCTTTTCCCTCGCAAGCGCGGCCTTGCTAAGGCGGGCCTCCCAGTGCATTGCATGACACGATATTGATCTCAGTTGTATTGATCCCGCAAGGCAGGTTGTGGGCCTCTGGCCAGGGGTCACTGACTGCCCGGCCAGGTGGTGGCCGCGGGGCCCCGCAACCTTTTCACGTGCTAATGACCTCGCGATGCCCACCGCCTCTCGCTGCGTCAACCTCTGCAGCACGATGGCGGCTCTGCACGGAGAGCTATTAGACTGCATCTCCCTCTCTTCTTCGTCTGTTACATTTAAAAAAAAAATGTTTGATTTCAAGAAGTATTTTTCGAATTTGAGACAGGCTTTGTGGAATTTGATTGACAATAAATCTCTTTCGGAAGGGTCTCGGGTCGTTGAGTAGTGGAACAGAATGAAATTTGTCTGTTCAAAGGGCATATGGGATTATATTTATATCCAAATTTTTTAAGTTAATCGCTTGTAAGGTATTGACATTCAAAAGTAAAGAAATGTGAAAATTTTCAGACATGACAGTTTTATTGATTGAAAGAATTGTAGATTTTCTATTTAAACTATTCTATTTAAATTTAAATATTTCTATTTAAAGGTAATATCAAGGGTTTAGTTACCGTGTTGCGCCGAGGTTCAAACGGGGAGTATTTTTCATGTAAGCCCGTGTTTAGATTTATACTCTTCGTCTTCGCATTGAAATAATTTTAAGAAGAAAACAAAAAACAATTTTTGAAATCCATAAAATTCCTCTAGAAATTTTCACATTTCTTCACTTTTGAACATGACGAACTGTTTTAAGTGTTCCAAGGTGACCCTTAAAAACCTAGTTTCATTTGATCTTAATCTGGAAACCTCACATCTTGAAAAAGAGGAAAGAATCACAACTGAAATTAAGCAAATTATCATGGCTACTTAACCAAAGGTCTAAGCTCTCCTTATACAACAAAATTTTAGTGTACAAGACAATAATCAAGCCAACATGGACTTACGGCATCGAACTCTGAGGAACTGCCAGCAAGTCAAACCTGGAGATCCTGAGAAGATTCGAAACAAAAACACTGAGATATATATGCAACGCTCCGTGGTTCGTCACCAACAATAATTTGTACAAAGATTTGAACATCTCAACAATGACAGAGACTATCTCGGAGAAAAGCAAGAGGCATCAGAAGAGACTGGGATGCCACCCGAATCAACACTCAGTGAACATGTTGGACAATAGTGAACATGTGTATAGGCTAAAGCGTGAACATATTGTAGACTTACCCTTTAGATTCTCTTCATAGTAACTTCTATCATGTATACCATTTACTAATTGTTTGTTCCAAGTGAACAGATTGTAAATTAGCAGAATTGAAAATAAAAAAAAAAATTGATCTCTGTATCATCAATGGAAAGATGTGGAGGTAGCCAGAAGACGTATTCCACATCACTACATTGAGTATCAGAGCAAAAGATACAAACGTGTAGGGCATTTAGGGAGGTCGAAGGTCACTTTTTACCAATGCACGTGTGGAAAATCTCATGTAATGAAGTTACACATATGAAATTTGATCCTGATAGGTAGGCAGCTCATCGTGCAATATAGGTGGAAGATAGATGTTTCGACGTGGTCAAATTGATTTTGCATACCTCCCAAACACTATTGCCAGACAATGGCTACCAGTCAGGGACAAATTTCACGTGTGTATCTTTCTTCTGAGGTTTCTCACCACACATTCATTGGCAGAAAGTAATCGTATTCGATCCTCCCCATTTAGCTTACAAATTTGTAGCATTAATATGATTTATATACAAGAATCATTTGAGACATTATAAACAGAAATTTAGTTTTAGATGTAATACAATACAATGGTTATATACAGTAGTTTATAATGAGAAAAGACTCATCAGTTCATGAATAAGGGATGTCGCAAAATTATATAGGTAACTCTCTTTTTTAATATTTTGCGATGAGGATTTTGTTTACCTATGTGAAAATACATAGCTGAAGGGATGTTTAATATTTTAGAATATAATTTTACGGATAATAATGAGAAATTGACAGGGATTGGTGTAATTCCAAGTTCATTATGTAACTTCGCATTCGGAATGTTCCAAGGAGCTTATGTGATGGCGCGTAGGAATCTATTTTGAAAAAGTTTGATTTTGTTGATGTTTGTTTTGGCTACGGCAGCCCAGACTGGGGAAGCAAAGGAAAGTGAGGGTCGTATCATTGCTTTACAGAGGTGAATAGCAACATGTAATTGTAGGGAAGATGATTTTTGGAGAAACGGATATAATTGAGCATTTATTCTTAGACACTCTGTTTGCCCACTCATTAGACGATTTTTTACAACACACACACATCTCAGCTCGTGCTGCACTTTGTCATTTCCCTTGTCAACTTGTATAGTGTGATAAAATCTGCATATAGAACACAGCAGGTAGAATCCTCGTTGCTACGGTCGTTGAGTGCACTGAACTGATTTCATCTGAAATTTTTTTTATTAGCCAACTGCACATCTCATTAAGGGCAAGGGCCTCCTGCTTGGGCAGGGAATTATTAATATTTCTTTTTTAATGAAGTGACAAGATGATGACGAGGAGTGAAAGAACGATCACAAGTACATCCATGCCCGAGGCGGGATTCGAAACCGCGATCCGAGATCGCCACGACCCTACTGCCTTAGCGATCTCGGCTACCCGGATTGGCCATCTAAACATGAATGTTCCCTAATTAGAGGCCATCTACCGCAATAGTGCGGATCATATCCCACATCTTCTTTCAGCTGATCTCATGCAGAGCTGAGAACTTGGCTAAGTAATGTAAATATTTGTTGTGTCGGCAGCGCCTTGCGGGTATACTATTTTGCGAGAATTACGTTTACAATACAAATTCCAAAATTCCAGAGGTGGCTGGTGACTTCAAAAGGTAGTGGTTAACAAAATTATCTCGGAATGGTTCACAAAAATAGGCGGCGAGTGACCAGTCGTCTCCGTCAATAAACTCAACCGTCTGTGGATATTCGAAAGCAATCAAGAACTCCCAAGCTATTTAAAGGGACCACTGACGCTCACCTTGTCATGTTTTCTGTTTGACGTAATTATTGCTACCAGCAGGTAGTACATTCGGAGTGGATCAACTTGCTTGGTTTTTTAATTGATTTAATCTTCCCTCTCTGAAAGTGTTTCTAATGTTCCCAAATGAAAAACCCACGCATAATGCAAGCACTACACTTGGAGCGAGCGTATACATTACACCTTCCTAATAATAGAAAATAAAAATGT